CTTTTAATTGGGAAGCCTCTGAAGACCATCTGGAAGCAGCTTTTCATCCAGGAGGTAGCTACAAAAGCCTGAAGAGATCTCTGGAGGTCTCCCATTTCACGTAATTGTCTTGGGCTCACATGCTCACCCAGTGAGGGTTTCCGTGAAAGGAGAAAGGGCTATTAATGTCTCTGAGGGAAAGAAAGACATTTGAGTGACATAAAGCTGCTCATTTAAGGGCTGTGGCATGAAGGAAGAACAAGATAACTTTTGACCAAAATAAAGTGCAGCAACGCTTCCCTCTTTCATAGGCTTGCGAATGTCCTTCAGCCTCTCACCTACACCACCCTATTTATCTGTTTTCTGGACCCCTCCTGTGTCTTTCCTGACTAGTATGAAGCAGTGACTTAATAAGACTGAAGCACAAATGAGATGGCAAGGGGGAAACTATAACACCAATACTGTGAGATGAGCAAAACCAGGAAGGGAATTCCACCTTTTTGGGAATGGAAGATTAAGCACCTTTAAGCTTGAGTGCAACCTAGTGTCCTTTTAAATAAAAGGTTTTGTGATCCACTACGTACTCCTCTCTAGTCCACCCTTCTACTAAAGTGTACTAGGCAGAGTTTAAGTGGTGAAAACCACACTCTACAAAGTGCAAACTATTAAACCCCATCTAAGATGGAGCAGAAACAGCACCTTGGCCCAGCCATCAGAAATACAGAGACAAATTCTAAAAAGTAGACCGGAGAAGCCCACCTCCAAAAGCAAATCTTCACCACCTGGCTAAGAGCAGATGGCTATGTGGCCAGCAAGGCCTCTCCCGGCATTTGGGTCTGAATCCTGGACGCCGCAGCTGGAAAAACCATGTGCTCTATTTCACATCATGGTGGGACCCAAAGGAGAGCCTCCATTATCAAAATGAAGGTCTTGGCCAAGACATTTGGGGAGGGGAGGAAATCAAGTTCTGAAAGCATTTGCGTCCCTCATCGAGTTGGGCCTGCATGAGCAAAACCCAAGAGCAGCCCAAGGTATTTTGCTGCCTGAGGTAAAAGGTAAGAAATCACTCTCTACCCCTACTCCACATAGAGAAGGAATCTGACTCTGAAAGCCAAATTGTATAGTACGACAGATAAAAACATCTCTCCAGCTGAAATCATGTTAGGGTTGCAGAGACATGATTCCAGCAGACATTTCCAAATGAAGCCCACGTTTACATCCAGAAGACCAAGCACAAAACAAAGCAGATGAATTTGCAAGCTAGAGGTAGTGTGAAAGGGCCATGCTGTGTCAATCAGGATGTAAGGAATGCCCTCTTCCAATGATGCGGTCTTCATGATGCAGGGGTGCGCAAATTCTGTCCCTTCTTCCTGGACCTTGAAAGGCCACACCTGTTCTCACAATTCCTATTCTAAAATTGTTCTCTTAGAAAAATGGTTTCTAAAAGACTGAGAAAGCACCCATATGCCCTCTAGTGGCCAAAAATCTTTTTTTAAGAGTTGTGGAAACATTTGGGGGAGGGCATGTGAGGTCCTTAGAGTTTCTGGGAAGCCCTAAAAACATGGCAAAATTGTTCTCATACTCTGTAGACGGTAAAAGGAGAGGTTTTGAGCCATTTTGGAGGTGGGGGAGACTAACTTTTTTGAGTGGGGGAGTGCTGGAGAGTGCAGGCACACTAAGGGCCACCTGTTGCCCCACCTGCTGCTTGACCCTTATTTCTGTTGGAGCTTTTACAACCTCGCATGCAAACTGGAGAAAATGTGGCTGGTAAGGACCTTTCTGCCCTGGGGTGACTATCAATCTATCCAGCAGGGAATAGCAGCTTCCCATTAGTTTCTATGGACGGAAAAGAGCAGATACGGATCAAATGGTTTTCAATGCATTCCTATGGGAAATGCAGATTTGACCTGAGAACTTTTTGACTTGAGAACCGCCTTCCAATACGGATTAAGTTCTCAAGTCAAGACCCCACTGTATCAATCTATCCAGCAGCAATCAATAGTTCCTTCCCTGCCTCTGAATTCAAAGAGGGATGTGTCTCCCGGCTCAGATCTTTTCCAATCTCTTTAGTCTTTTGGAAACAGTCGTCTGTTGAAGTCTATTTGCTGAAAAGAAAAACGGTTTGTCAGTTTGCTGTTTGATCTATTTGGTTGTAAATAATTAACCTTTTTTTATTCTTTCTCCAACTAATGTCCCAGAGTGAGTTACTGAGACTATAAGTAGCGGCTGATGAGAAAAAAAGGGGGGGACTACTCTGGGGAACTTGAAGCTGTTCTGCTCCGTGAATCCCTACATTTCTGCTGCTCGGCTAGAGGAATTTAACAAAACATTGAAAACTCTGCAACAATTTCAACACTGGTCATAGGGCAACATCTTCCATTGCACTGAAAGACAACAGATTAGCATTGGAGGGGAGCATGGTGCTCACATGGCACTCCCACTTCTATCCTCTGGTACTTGGTCACTGCCAGATCCTCCTCAGGATCTGGTACATATGCCTCTGACTTACTGTGCTTAATGGTAAGGCTGGCCCCATCAATGCCAACATGTTGACCTGAACTTAGAAGGAAAGTGATGATAACCAGTGAAGCTGATGAAAAAAAAACACAATGTCACATGATCAGAGCTTTCACTGCTCCATTCTAATGCAGGGGAGGTGTCTGTCTGTCTTCAAGGGTAGCCCTGCTTAAATATCCATTACAGCAGTTTTGCTTTTTGAGTAGCTAGTATTCCTCATTGTGCTAAAAATATTTATTTTCTTGCAATTCTTCGATCTGTAAAAAAATATACTGGAGGTGGCAGCAAAGGAGGAGAGAGAAACTGGTTTGACCGACAGCAAGCGTGGCTCTGAACCATAGCAGTGGGCGTTTGGCCTGGAAGCCGGTCCCTTAGATCGTATCAGCAACCTGCAGAGATTTTCATTTTGTAACTTTCAATCTTATCCTTTTCTTTGCGCCTTGTGTGTGTGGGGGGGGGAGTAGCACACGCCAACATGAAAGCTCTGAGCCCCCTTCCTGCATATCCTACTTAAACGACAGCGTGGATTGGGACGGTCGCTGCCAAGAGACAGCAAGCTACTCGCCTCCACACACAGAATGCTGAGACCAGAAGCCTCCAGAATTTTTTAAAAAGGCAAGATCGATGGTAAATGTTTTGGTCCATAAGGGGGGGAAAAACCCCCACCATACTCTTCACTGTCAAAGTGCCACTGATCTCAGCAACCAGGAAATCCATTATTTTAAATGCTAACTGTCAAACTCCTAGAACGACAAACACAATGTTTAATGATTGTATTCAGTATGTTCAGCGATGCTGATGTCTGCTGCAGTCTCCCTCTCGGTGGCTCCCAATCTTGGGTCACCCGGGTGTTCTTGGACTGCATTTCCCAGAAGCCCCGGCCATCACAGCTGGGGGTGAAGGCTTCTGGGAACTGCAGTCCAAGAGCACCTGGGTAACCCGAGGTTGGGAACCCCAGCCCTATCACAAGGCTGCCCAAAGGGGAGCCGTACAGGCATTACTGGACTGCAGCTCCACAGATCCTTCAGTGCTGGCTAGGCTAGCTAAAATGGCTAGCCTCGCTGTACCCTCACAGCATTCAGAGGGCCCCGCTTTGCTCAGCTCTGCCTTACAAAAAAACCCAAATATACCTGCACTTGAAATGAGGGTTATGCTGAACTAGACACATCGTTCCAATCACATTTGCCCTGACTAAGTAGAAGGTCCCTCTGGGGATTTTCAACCACATCTTTGAGCTTTAAGGAGCTTTTCCTGTCAATTCAAGGTCTTTAAGGTCAAGAGTGAGATTTTTATTTCAGAAGTTACACTTTGGAGCTCCATCGAATGTGGCCTAAGGGACCTAAACTCAAACTGGGAGTCTTCAGCTAAAGCATTAAGCCATTTTAGATCATGATGCCCGAAAACATACGCTCTTCCTTGTCCTTCTGCTGGATCACCGAGCTGTGCTTTCAGTGGGTGAGCCTGGTGGTGGTTCTACTGGGGTCTGAGAACAAAGCCTTCTACATTTTGGCTCCCATCCTGCAGAACGTCCTTCTAGGTGAGAACCTTCACTTTCTTGCAGCCTCCCACAATACCCAAAGGTCTCTGGGTGGCTTACAATATATTACAAATACTGTATTAAAAGAAAAAATCTTTAAAAACCCAATTTTTACATGTATTACCAGTACTGGCCACTAGAGTGAGACAGAGATGGTGCTATGAATACTTGTTAGTGAATAATACATAGCATGGTCTCTGGTACCCTCTTGTGGCCAGTTCTAGTAATGCGTGTGAGGATAGTTTTTTTCTGTCCCCCCACCCTTTTAACGTGTTATATAGAGAGTGTGTGCGTCTATGTGTTTGTTTTAATCCACAGTTTTCAGTATCCGGGGGGGGGAGGCTTGGAACCTATCCCCAGCAGATATGGGGTCCTACTGTAATTTCTTTTACTTGGTACCGCTTTCATGTTTTTGTTTTCGTTGTTGAATTTTTTTTGTGCAACTCTCCTATCCTTTACCAAGAAAAGGAGCACCGCTTCAATGTCGTGTTGTGTTGTGTCGTTTCGTTTCCCATCCATTTGTTTTCTGGCTCTGGTTCAATAAAGCCCCAAAGAACCTGACAAGGGCCAAGAGGCAAGGAGAGGGAGAGGAAACAGCAGGCCAGGCATGGCAAAGCGGGTGCCTGGTGGCTGTGGCCATGCAAGGAAAATCTCCTCTACAATTTGTGTGAAGGAAAAGTTTAACAAAAGAGGGAAACAACAACAACAAAAAACTACACAAAATGTTTGTGATCCCCCTCTTTTATTTAAACAAAATCCTTTGTGTCCCAGAGGCGAGGACATCCCGGATACCCTCTCTTTTACGAAGAGGAGCTTGCGGTCTGTTGCAGCAAAAGCAGCAAAGGCTTTGGTGGCACTCGAGAGGCTGGCACATTGTCTTGGGGTGAAGCGCCCAGAGCCCGCAGCCCATCTCTCCAGATCTGACTCTACCAGTTGCCCACAGTCCACAGAACCTTAGGCCAAAGGAAAGGTCTTTTCTTTGTGTTGACAGAAGACCTGATACACACGTTAACACTTGTTCCTTTTTTAAAAATTATTTTTATTTTTAAGACAAAAAAACATATACAACAACAAATACACAAATAAAAAAATAATAGTGCCTATTGCAAACTAAATTCTAATGTGCACCCCATACCCATGGGACCCCATTTAACAATATTTTTATTACAGACTATCTTTCCAAAATTGTATAGATTGTTCTTTTGAGGCTTTCCCCCTTCCTTTCACTAACACAGATTCGACAAATTTACCCCAAATATCATAAAAACGTTTAGAGCTTATTTCCCCTCTTGAGTTCAATAGGCAATTTATCATTTAATGCAATGTCCCATACTTCACTATACCAATCTTCTAATTTAATATCATGTTTGTCTTTCCAAAACCTAGCTATCAATATTCTAGCACTTGTCATAAAATTGATTAATTCTTTTGAATAATAATCCAAATCTGTATTATCAAAAATTGACAATAGAACAATTTTAGCATTAAAATTAATATATTTAACAAATATATCACATATTTCCTTAAAAATCAGTTTCCAAAATTTCTTAACCTATTTACAATCCCACCACATATGAAAGTACGTACCAATTTCCTCATCACATTTCCAACATGTTTTGGGGTATGCTGGATTTATTATATTTAGTTTTACAGGAGTCAAATACTATCTTAAACAGATGTTGAAGAAATTTTCATTTATTCTTGTCAACATTAATCTTAAAACTCATCCTCCACATTTTTATCCAATCCTCTGTTTTAATTTCTATCTTTAAATCATTTTCCCAAATTAATTTCATACCTTCTATTCCCCATTGTTTTTCCAAAATGCTTACTACTCCATCATTATAACTTGCATATCTTCATGTGATGACAGAAATTGTTCATACTTGTTTCTTTAACTGTGAGTTTTGCCTCCATTCTTCCATCGGGCAAAACTATCTATCTATCTATCTATCTATCTATCTATCTATCTATCTATCTATCTATCTATCTA